TGCAAAATATACACGAAGAATCCACTGAGGGGTGCCGCACTCTGTTTGCCTTCGGCGACTCTATTTCTCGAGGTTGATATGTATTCTGAACTTCCGCTCTCAAGGAGAAGATGCTTCTTCACACCCCGATCTTACCTCTTTTCATGCCTCTCCTCATCTCAGCAATTCTAGCTAGCGTGACGAGCAGCCCGGTCATCGAACAGTAGTTTTAGGCGCTGGCTGAACTCTGTGCAGTAACAAGCAACGACGGAAATTAGAGATAGTTGAACTCATGCGAACCGTTGTGCGATGCGAGGCTCTTTCCACGGATCGCACTGAACCCGTGACACTCTCTTCGTCCGATTTCAGTTCGCCCTCCTCCAGATCATCTATTTCACCTTCGCTCAGCTCACTGCCCTCATCATGTTCTTCCGCAGTTTCACTCAGTTCATCACCACCATCATCGTCCTGTATCGGCGAGCCCGTTTCCTCTGCTGTTTGGTTGCTGCGACGCTGCTGCTTGTTTTCACCTTCCAAACCCTGCAAAATAAGTTCGCATTACTACTTCATTCATTCATTTATTCATTTAGACAAACACACAGACAACCCCTCGTCAATATGCGTTTTTTGCAGCTATGCAATGCAGAAAACGCGTATTGACGAGGGGTTGTCTGTGTGTTTGTCTGTACCGATTTTTCATCTCGAGATCTACAAAAGCTACGAGGCTGAAATTTTGGAAACTTAATCTACATGCATGTACGGGCCCCCACCCTCAAAATGGGCGCTCTTACCTGCGTGGTACCTACGTACAGGCACGCCAAAGTTTTTTATGGGCAAGCTGTTAACTCGGAAATCAGAGAAGCTGAAAAGCTGAAATTTTAAGGAGACGTTCCCCGTCCGCGCAGGTATTAATGTGCTCAAACCTAGCCCCCGGGTATGCGTGGTACCCACGTACGGCCCCGTCGACCTTTTTCCGTTGCTAGCTCTAAGTTGCTAGCTCAGGAACTTAAGAAGCTGGAGGGCTGGAATTTTAAGGGGATGTTCCCTATCCAAGCATGTATTAGTGAGCCCAAACTCAGACACCGGATATGCGCGATATCCATGTACGGCCCCGTCAAAGTTCTTTTCGGGCAAGTTGTTAATTCAGGAACCTGAGAAGCTAGAAAGCTGAAATTTTAAGGGGGTGTCCTCTGATAGTTTTGGCGGTCAGTCTTAAATTGTTTAGCTAGAAAAATCTGCCGGAAAAACCGACAAAAACTGCGGGGAACTATGCAAAAAATGCATCTTCGCACGGGAAGTCCGTGCGTTGGCCAATTATTA